CGCTTCCCTCCTCCCTCCTCCCTGCTCCCTCCTCGCACTGCGCTTCTCTTCTCCTCCGTCCCCTCGCCCCTCCTGCTGCCTCTCCATCCCTCTCCGTGCTTCCCCCTCCTGCTCCATAGCTCTCCCTCCCCTCTGGGAGCCTGGGCCTCGGGCGAGCTCTGCCGCCCCCCCCGGGTGCCGGCGTGGCGCCGCCGGTCCCCGACCTTCTGCCTCTTCATCCCCGGCCCGTACTTCCACGACGCCATCCTTGCCACCTTCAAGGGGCCGATCTCGGAGGATGGGGGGAGCCAGGGCGCAGGTCGACTCCCCCGATTCGGTTCGCTTCGATTGCGACGGCTTCGAGAGCCGATTCGATGCGACCTCGGACTCCGGGGCGTCGGCTTCCCAATGGAGGCCTCACCAGCCTGCCGATTTCCGCTGGTCCGACTGCTCCAGACTTGGCCGCCGATTCCTGCCGATCCGATTCATTTCCATCGCCGACTTCGCGATTCGATTCTGGGCTGGGGACTGGTAAGGCTTCGGGCTGCGCACTGACGGCGCGCCCAGGTTGTCCCAGCTGGCCTCGGCAGGCCCCCCGAGCAGTCCCTGGAAAAGGAATGGCCTTCGGTCTTTCGTCGCCTCTAGTCCCTGGAGACCGTTTCCGGGCCCCGGGCTCGGGGCCGTCAGAAACGGGCGCGAGATGAAAAACTACCGCCTGGGAAGTCCCCCAGACGATTCCTCGACACGACCTGCAAAAGTTGCGTTCCTCTTACAGGGGGGGGCCATTTTTGTGTCCTCTGGTGATGAACGGGCGTGACCCTGGGGGGGCGAGGGCGCGGGATCGGTAACGTCACGATTCGCGCTGGCGCTGTTTGGGGATGCCCCCAAGAATGGGTAATTCCCAAGTGGCGCCGGCGCGAATCGTGACGTGGCCAGGGGGGGAAGAGAAAGGGGGCGGGGCTGGTCGGGAGCTTTAGCGCAAATAGTTGCAAACATGGCTTCAGATCTTCATCGTCGTGAGCACTGGTTAGGGATCGCCAGAAACGACTCGGGACGAAAAAACGGTCCCTGGGAAGTGTCGACACATTCAGGGACCACGTATGCCCCAAATCACAACGTCGGAGGTCTTTAGAGGTGAAGGGGAAGGAGTAGGATGATTCGCAGTCTGCCAGTTTTGGGATTCCTGCTTTGTCCTCGCCGCTACGCACTGGTTGGACTCGCTTCGAAATTCTGGCCAGAACGCGTTCCAGGATAGGTCTCGGGGCCGGCTTTGAGGGAGGAGGGGGGGGGAGGGCGAAAGGAGGAGCGAGGAGGAGCGAGGATGAGGAAGAGGCGGGGAAGGAAGAGGAGGAGGAGGATGAGGAGCAGGAGCAGGAGTAGGACGAGGAGGAGAAAGAGCAGAAGCAGGAGGAGAAGGAAGAGGAGAAGGGGGAGGAGGATGAGGAGGAGTAGCAGTAGCAAGACCAGGAGCAAGTGGATGAAGTTGAGAGGGATGAGGACGAGGTAAAGGTGGGGACTGGGTACTCGGATATTTAATGTTTTTTTTTTTCTCAGTTTTGTGTTTTCCCAGGGGTATGAGTAGGAGGGGAGGATGGGAGCGAGGAGATGGAGGAGATGGACGAGGGGCAGCTTGAGAAGGAAGACATGTGGGAGGTGAAGAAGAGGGGGAGCACGAGGATGGAGGGGAGGGGGGAGGGGAGGGGGTATGCTGACGATGATGATGCTGATGATGATGATGCTGATGATGATGACGATGATGATGATGGTGATGATGATTGTGGTAACGATGATTAGGGTGATAAGGATGTCGGTGATGATGCTGATCATGATGGTGGTGATGATGATGATGATGATGTTGGTGTTGCTCATGATGTTGTGAGCGACATGTTTAATGCTGTTTATGGTGATGATATTGATGCTGCTGCTGATGATGATGGTGACGATGGAGCTGATGTGGTGATGGTGTTGGTACTGGTAAAATGTCGACGATGATACTGATGATGATCATGGTGCTTATGCTAATGCTGGTCCTCATGCTGATGCTGATAATGCTGGTGATGGGGATCATGCTGATGGTGACGACGATGACGATGACGATGACCAGGACAATGATGCTGATGATGGTGAGAGAGACGGTAATGATGCTTATTATTCTGGTGGTGGCGATGATGCTGCCGATGGCTATGATGACGATGGTGATGTTGATGATGATCATGATGCTGATGATGATGTTGATGCTGATCCTGATGCGGATGCTGATGCTGATGGTGTTCGTGCTAGTGATGCGGTTGCTGCTGTTGTTGTGGATGATGATGGTGACCTTGACGATGACGATGACGAGGACGATGCTGCTTATAAGGGTCAAGGGTATCGTGACGATGCTGATTCTGGTGATGCTGATGATGCTGATGATGGTGATGATGATGATGACGATGCTGATGCTGATGATGATGATGCTTGTGATGAGGATGGCGGTGGTGTTGGTGATGGTGATGGTGATGATGATGATGCTGATGATGCTGCTGATGATGATGGCGGCGCTGATTGTGGTCATGATGATGGTGATGACGAGGATGATGATGACGATGATGCTGACGGTTGTGATGATAAAGGTACTGATCATACAATGGATGGTGGTGAGTCTGAGTATGATATTGACGACGATGCTGATGATAATGACGACGACGATTACGACAACGACGATAGTGACGATGATGATGCTGACGATGATGACGAAGGTGATGCTGATGATGATTATGCGGATGATGCTGATGATGTAGATGATGTTGATGCTGATGATGATGCTGATGCTGATGCTGATGATGATCGTATTGCTGCTGCAGCTGATGATGTTGATGATGCTGATGCTGATGCTGCTGAAGATGATGGTGATGCTGATGTTGATGATGATGATGCTGATGATGCTGATGCTGATGCTGATGGTGATGCTGATGCTGATGCTGATGCTGCTGATGAGGATGATGATGCTGCTGCTGATGATGATGCTGATGGTGATGATGCTGCTGCTGATGATGATGGTGATGGTGATGATGCTGATGATGGTCATGATGATGCTGCTGCTGCTGCTGCTGCTGCTGATGATGATGATGATGATGATGATGATGATGATGATGATGATGATGATGATGATGATGATGATGATGATGATGATGGGTGGGTAACGGACCGAGCTAGGATCGAGCGCCGCGCGCGTCGAATGAGCAAAACGAGCGAGGAGGAGGCCCAACGGACCAGACGAGCATCGCGGCCAGGGAGTCCTCTGCGCGCCTTCGTGGAGGCGTCGAAATACACTGCTCACGCGCAGACCTGCAACGCGAATCCTATCCATGCCAGGGCCGCATCGCCGACGATGATGACGCGGTGGACAGGAATCCCAACATCACGGTTGGCGGGATTCAGGCCCCGCAAGAGCTGATCCAACTGCTGCCGCTGGTTCGGCCATTGTCGGTTCGGCCGCGACGACAGTATCACATTGTGGACGTGCCCAAATCATCACATGACAGCAACACCGTAGCACATGATGCAGCCAGCCCTGAGTACCCTCCGACGACGCGGTGGGTTCGGTCCCGATTGCTTGGTAGTTACTCAATGGAGGGCGCGCGGGGGGTCGCACGGCAGCAAGAGGCCGCCACACGTCGCGCCCTTGCGTATGGCCTCCGCACGCCGTGCACGCCACGGCGTCGCCCGCGACCCCGAGCCTGTGCCCACGGCACGCCGAGGGCGGCATAGGGGCCAGGCTCTCGGGGGGCAGGGGGCGCAGTCGGTCGGCGGGGCCGCCGAAGGCGCCCTGGGCTGCCCGCCCCGAGCTCTCGTCGGGCCTGGGTTCACCAGCCTCGAACGTATCCCTACCCGTAAGATTGACACGCTAAAAGGCGATGACAATCTTAGGGATACACCCTCAGAAACGAGGAAATCCCTAAGATCGCCATCGTGATGAGGCGGTGCCCAACATAGGGATAGGGATATGTTCCAGGCTGGTAATGGGTGCCGCTTCCCCCGGCGGGCCCACAGGCCTGGCCCGCGGCCGACTGTGCACAGGATCGTTGGGGGACCCGCCAAAATCGCAGGCGGTGGGGATCCAGCCGAGCCCTCCGCAGGGACCTCGGACGCCGGAGCTCCCAAGTACGGTCCAGCCGGTTCCGATGCCGATGTTGCGGAGCTTGCTGGACTGCACGGCACGAGCCAGAGGAGCAGAAGCGGGGTGTTTCAGACCGCGCGACGGCGCGGGAGCTCCAGGGAAATCCGCGCCAGCCCCGCTCGAGCCAGGAGCCGTCGCCTGAGCTCCAGACGCGGATCCAGCCGACGGTTCGGAGGACGAATGAATGCGCAGAAGCCGTCGGCGCCGCTCCAGTCAGGAGGGCCGCGGCTGCCACCATGGAGCGTGGGACGTGGCCAGACTGTACCCCGACAGCCCGATGTCCTCTGCGAAACGCACCCGCTTGCACGGAGGCTCTGAAACATCCTGGGAGGTCTATCCGCCAGCAGCCGCGCCGACCGCCGAAACCGACCCATTTTGACTGAAATGGGTCGGTTTTTCGGGGCGCGTGCGCTGGGGAGGAACAGGAGGAGGAGGGAGCTCAGATGCCCGCTCGATCGTACTACCCCGAGCCGCCTGGGCCCGCGCCTTGAGCTCCCGCCCTCTTGCACGCCTGGCGGAGCATGCGCACGCGACCTGCCCACGCGCGAGCTTTTCCACTGCACCAGGCGCACCGCCACCACGGGGCGGCGATACACGGTGAACGAGCATGCGCAGGCGACCGTCAGGCTGAAGTCGGGCACATCACTCTACAGGAGGAAGATCCCAAAGTAGTAAAACATAGACAGGGGATTGGTTTGTTAAAAAAATAGTACAAAAAACATGTTTGATTATCATTGGGTATTTGTTGGGTAGTTTGATTTTCTTGCCCAAAATCCGCCTGTCGGGGGACACGCCCGACCTTTACCAGCCTGGAACATATCCCTATCCCTATGCTGGGCACCTCCTCATCACGATGCCCATCTCAGGGATTCCCTTTTTTTTTTGAGGGCGAATCCCTGAGATTGTCATCGCCCTTTGGCGTGCCAATCTCAGGGATAGGGATGTGCTCGAGGCTGGTAATGTAGGGGGACACGCCCGACCGAACGTCGGGCAGGGTTGGCCGCGCCGTCGCCCAGGCCGGCACGCCCGCCGCCCTCTCGAGCGCGTGGCGGCCGCGGGGCTCGTGGTCGAGCGCCGGGGCTCCCGACCTGCGGGCCGTCGTGCACCGCCGCCACGCGGCAGGCCGCCTCACGAAGGCGTCCTCCTCCTCCTCCTCCTCCTCCTCCTCCTCTTCCTCCTCCTCCTCCTCCTCCTCAGCCAGCTCGGCACAGACAGGATGCTGCCTGGCCGACCCTCTGCACTCACGTTCTATCCATACTTTATGCTACTCTCATGTCGCTGAGGTGTTCCAGCTTCTGGCGACTCGCTTGCGCAGTCATGTCTACGTTTCCTTTGACGATTGGTTCCTACAACCCCATGCAGTCCGCCTCCCTCGACAGGTTGACTGACATTGCGGACTGCACGAAGAACTTCGACGGTATAGCGCTCATCGGCACACGCAGCAAGGCCACCCGAGGAACGACTCTTCGCAAACGGCAGGTGGGAAACAGGGTGGTCATCGAGGCGGGCTGGACTACAGGTGAGCTAACTAACATGCATTGTGGTGTCTCTATTATGTGGGGATCGCGGGTGAAGGTTGAACATTTAATACGCACAGAATGTACTCCCTCCTTGATTGGTGGTCGTGGTCTTTTGTGCCGTGCGCGCTCTGGCAGATATGATGTGACGATTATTGCACTTTACTTTCCTCCCAAGCCTAAGTATTCGCATGAGTGGACACGATATCGTCGCACAGTGAACGAGTTGATTGCATGGCTGGCTCCCCGTCTGGCGTCGCTACCTCAGCGTACGACTCCATTTGTATGTGCTGATGTCAATGATGGTATGGGGCTTATCCAGATAAATGGTCAATGGGTTTCTGATGAATTGATGGTGGTCAGGCCTGAGAACGCTACACGAGGGGTCTTTGCAGGGGCTGAGCTGGCAAAACTATTCTCTCTCCACGGGCTGCAGGTGGCGAACAGCTACAAAGGCTTCAGCCCCACGTACTATGGTCCCCGCGGGGAATCTAGCTGGATTGATATTGTTGCGGCCCCAGTTGCACTTGTACAACATTGTCGGAGTGCGGGCCCGCTTCACCGTCTGAGCAGAAAATTACAGTATGTACGACGACGTGAAGTGTCTGATCACTTGTTCATCCACATGGGTCTTGATTATGTTCTGGACCCCCAGGCGGTCAGTGTTTCTGTGGAACGCCCAAGATGGGATCTCGACGCTCTTATGCTGGCGCTGCGCAAGGGTATTGGCAGGAGAGACTTCTTGGAGGCGGTCGAGAGGCGCATCCATAATGATTCTGAGTTGTGCGATCGCTTGCTTTCATTACCCACGGCGGACCAGGCTTTTGATTATCTGAATGATATTCTGATCCAGACTGGCCAGCAGTTCTTTGGTGCTGAGGCGCGTCCGAGACACCCGATGGCTCAGGAACGACGGGCTCTTCTGGACCGACGACGCGATCTTCGCATGGGACATGCTTGTGCTGTGAGTGATGATGAGGAGCAGCAGATAGTGCAGCAGCTTTCCGAGTTGTCTCGACAGAATGGCAAACGTCTCCGACGCGAGGCGCGTGCTCGGCAGCAGCAGCTAACTGAGGATATACACGAGCTCTGGAGGGATCGACGACTCGCCGGAGCATCTCGACTCTGTCGACGCGTAGGAGGTACTCGATTCGGACCGAAACGACGCGACTATCTTTCGATACGTGGAGTAGTGGCTAGTGCTTCTGAGCTTGTTGCCGATTTTTCGCGTCCTGGAGCCGAGGGGGGAGTGGGAGCTACGCAGATACCACAATGGGAGGGATGGAGAGATTGGCTTCTGTCTCGTGCGCTACCTCATGCTGAACCCACATATGCGGAGCGCAAAGCTGCCAGCCTTGACCTCAAGGGAATCCGTCGGGCCCTCCTGAAAGCTGGGAAGCGTCGTGCTGGGCCTTCATGGGCCCCTCCTCTGGAGCTATGGTGGCTGGTTTTGCACCCGCTCAAGAACTGCAAGGTAAAAATGGCTGGTCTTGGTGCTTCGAAAGAGGGGCTGCGTCTTCCTGAGTTCCAGAAGTTTGTCTTCGGGAGTCTAGCAAGGATTCGGAGTTCGGGATGGGCGCCTATCAGGTGGCACTGTAGTGAAGGGGCTCCTCTTCCCAAGCCTGATGGGAAAACTTGCTGGGTCCACCTTTTAGATCCCATGGGCAAGCTCGTCATGACTAGCTTGATGCACCAACGTGGGCCGGGGCTTTTTGGAGATTGTGATCATGGGTTTGTGCCGTATCATAGGCGTGAGGAGGCGCAGCTTGTACATAATATTAGTGGATATCATCTGTGGCGTGAAGGTCTCTCGCATGTGACGAACGCGCATGACCTCGCCAACGCGTTCAGCTCGAGTAGCTGGGCATCTATGCGAACGGCAATTTCATGCATGCTCTGGTCTGATTCCTTGGGCTTTGGGGGGCAACGATATAGGTGGGCAGTGATTCAGCTTCGGGTATCTGATGAGCAGGTGACGTTGCGACCCAGCAGCGGGGGCCTCATGGGAGACGGATTTGCCGTTCGCTCGTTCGTGCACACGTTCTCGCCTGCTGTTGAGCGCTTGCGTGAGGCCCAGCACCAGTGGGATCGTTACTCTCGCTATTTGCATGTCCGCTGCCCCGTGTCTGGCACGATGCAGGACCTGTCCTTAACTAAGTACGCGGATGATTTGACTAAGAAGCTGGTGGGAGGGAGGTTTACTAGTCTACGTGAGCTTATCGAGCTTAGCCGACGTAGCAATGATGATCTAGACGAATCTCTCCTACTGGATGGGTACAAACAGAATCTTAGCAAGCCGGATGCGCTGGTATGTCTAGTGGGGAGGGGTTCCTCTGAGGCGCTTCGACTTCTGCGCGAAGGTGCATTGTCTTTCCCTGGGCGTGCTGCGCAGATTATAAAATCGCTAGGCTTCCAAATGTCTGCTCAGCCCCATCGGTATGCTGTCGAACTAAAAACAAGATGTAACGCAATGCAGTCTGGTTTTTACTCCATGGGGATTTTTTGGCAACTTCCTGGGATGCCGCATCGATTGCGACGCTGTCTTTTCATGAGCAAGGTTTATAATGCAGGACTTTCTGGGATTGAAGCGTATGTGCCTACTGGTACATAATATCGGAGGCTGACGAATCAGATTGCGTCCTGTGCTCGGCGTGCTATGCGTGGTGATGCGTTTGATCCACGCGCTGAGCGCCATCCTCGTTCTCTTTCTAATGCAGATGTGCTGGCCTACTGGCGGCTGGTGTCTCCCGAGCTGGAAGCTCGGATTCGGCGACTACGGTTCTTGCAGGAACTGGTACGTCGGCCGCAGTTTCACAAACAAGTCATTGCTGCGCTCTTCGCTACTGTTGGAAAATGGCACTCGTTTCGGGGAGATGGTTGTCTAGGCCCTGAGGCTCATCCATGGGTAAAGATGTATTGGGGCGACGTGGAGGCCCTAGGAGTCCTTGGAGAGGGCCCTGACCTGTTAGCTCTTCTTGATGGGCGTTTCTTGGAGCTGTTTCGGTCGGAGGAGGCGGGGGAGAAGTTTATGAGTATTGATGTTCGTGAGCTTCGGAGTAGATCCTTAGCTGTAGCCGTGCCCCCTCCTGGACATGTTCCTGGTCCTGGACCCGAGCCTGACTTTATCCCTAGCGTGATCGAGATTGAGAAACAGTATAAGTGCATGGTGTGTGATAGCAGTGGCAGTATTTGCGGAGCTATCTTATCAGACCGACGTGCAGTACACACCCATATTATAGCTAGACACGGGTATCAAGCCCTATCGAGTATACTGAGTGTCTCAAACCAATGCTGCGCGTGTCTTACCACGTTCGCCTCGCGGACAATATGTCGACGACATCTGCGTGATTCTTTAGACCGAGGTTTCTGTAGTGATGTACAAGTCCGACACCTTCAGCCTCCGGGTATCCCTTCATCGTACCAGTGTCCACTATGTGTTTTCTATGGTCGCAGCTTTGAGGCTCTTCAGAGTCATTTGAGAACACACCTTGATCCTTGTCCTGAGCCCCACCCTCCTTGGCTTCGAAGTCGCGGCGCCCATGAGCATGGACAAGCGTCCCGCCTGGATGCTCGAGGCCCCGACGCAGGTAGAGGACGGCAGCGGCGAGCCAGCAGCCAAGAGAGCAGCTTCCGCATCGAAGGTCGTCGAGGCCGCCAAGAAGCAGGCTGGAGGAGGGGGGGACATTTTGAAGCAGCTCGTGATCATTCTCACGAAGCTGTCTCTCACCAATGCTGCAGAGCTGAGGGACATTTGCGGCGTCGTTTTGTTTCACCTTCCTTGTCCCGATGGAGAACGTCGCGGCCAAGGCCGCCAAGGCAGCAGGCGTCAAGTATCACGCCACCGTGCAGTCTTTGAAGGAGAGCGGCAGCGACGGATCGTCTCTCGGTCCCCCGTTTCTGCAGGTGTGGGCAGCACTGATCCAAGCCGCAGGGCAAGATCCGCAGTGCCCCGAGGATTGCAAAAAGTGCTTCTTGGCGTACTGGAGCGATGTCGTGCTGCAGCGAGATCTCATGGCGCTCGCGGACGAGGTTCGGGCCTGCCGTATCAGGGCCACACGCAAGCAGGAACAGAAGTCGGAAAAGTTCAGGTTGACGTTTGCGGTGGATTCGCGGATGCCCGATCTCGAGCGCCACCTTGTTCAGTATCTGAAGGCGGTGGGCGGGGAGCGCAAGGTGGGAGCAGCTCCACGTGGGGCCCTGGAGAGAGACGCGTCGAAGTTGCTGGGTCGTATCACACGTTGAGCGGAGTGAGTAGGAGGATAGCAAGCGGAGATGAGCAAAAGTATGGGGTGGGGGACGTGGGAGCTGGGACGGTGGGTGGCGGGGAGGAGAATGCAGAGGAGCGGCGCTTGGCTGCCGCTGCGAGTGCCCGAGCTGTGTCCCAGTTTGCACGCGAGGTATCGCGACGACCGATGCTGGCGAATTCGGCTCGTCTCAGAGAGTTGGCGGCTAGGGGGGCCCTCAATCTTCGACCTCCTCCTCCTCCTCCGAGTGCTGCTGCTGCTACTGCTTCCTCCTCGTCCTCGGGGGCCCCTCAGCCTTTTAGACTTGCCGAAAATCATGTCCTGGAGGGTGTCTCTGGAGACTCGCGCCAGTTTATGGCCCAGGGACGCCGAGTTTCAAGACCAAAACCTAAGCCGCGGGCGAAGTCTCGGGGGCATTTTTTTTTTTACTTTTTGTAGGGCCTTGAAGGCCGTCTGATTGGTGAGTTTGAGTCGTGCCGCCGCCCCCCTTGAGCGCGTACGCCCGCGCCGCAGGGCGGGTTGGGGCCCGTGCACTCGGCCGTGCCTGCAGAGGCTGGATGCCGTGTGAAGCTGCCTGCGAAGGCCACTCAGGGGCCAACTTTTTGCTGCCATGAGGTGACTCGTGGACACGGCCCCCCAGAGTCGATCTGATCTGATCTGATCTCCTCCTCCTCCTCCTCCTCCTCCTCCTCCTCCTCCTCCTCCTCCTCCCAGGGAGGGCCCCCCTGAAGGGGGAAAACCTCCAGAGCCCGTCTCGGCCAGGACCAGCGCCCCGCATATGGCGAAGCAGGGGAAGGAACGGGCCCAGAGGCCTCGGACTCCGCCCTCTGCTGTTCTGCGAAGCAGCGGGGCGCCGAACCCCAAGCGGGCCAGCGCCTCCGCCCAGCCATTGCCGTGCCTGTGCTGGTCGTTGCCGCTCCCATGCTGATGCCCGGGGACGTGCACGATGCGCACGTCAGGGGAGAGGCCGCCATGGTCATCCAACTTCGCCCGCTGCTGCACCCACACATCGCGATTCGAGCGCCTGGAGGAGGAGGAGGCGGATGAGAATGAGGAGGAGGAAGAGTTGTCCATGCCCCTGCTCACGCGCCATTCCCATCGTGAGGCCAGAGTGGCAGCATGGATCAGAGACCTGCCCCAGAGTGGGGCCATGGATGCTGCCCCAAGTGCCGAGCTCTCTATCCATACCCTTCTCTTCCCGGCGCCCAGACTGGGGAGCAGCGGCACGGGCATGGATCGAAGGCCGACCGCCGCAGAGGGACGCGACAGCAGAGACCGCTTCTGAGGCGAGGTGGCAGGGCGGGCCGCTGCGTGCGGCGGTGGCGGCGGCTGCACGCCCGAAGGAAGATCACGAGGTGCAGGAGGAGCAGGAGGAGGAAGGAGCATGATGATAACGACAAGGAGGGGCAGGCGGAGGAGGAAGGAGACGGGGAGAGGAGAGAGGATCTGGACCTCTCGAACTCGCAGTTCGCCTCCCTGTTCGCCGTGAGCTCGCTCACTGGCGTCTTCTTCGGCCCCGGCGGCGCTGTGATAGCATACGTGGGTCGCACCAGATGTGCGGTCATAGCGAGTTTTTTCGCCTTCGTGGGCTCTCTGCTCACCACTCTGGGCTACCACTGGGGCCTCTTGAGTGTGATGCTTGTAGGCCGCTTCGTTTTCTGGTTCGCGCTCAACAGCCTGTTGATGGTGCAAACGATCCTGACGTACGACATGTTCAAGGGCAAGGAGCTGAATATGGCGATGACCCTCATCGTATGCTCAATCCGAGTCGGAGGTAGCCTTTCGTATCCTCTGTCAGGGCCACTGCTGCACCGCCTTGGCGTTATGGAATCTCTCTGGTTCACTGTGGTCCTGGTCTTCGGCGCCTTCTGTGCGACGCTGGTGTTCGCGAAGCTCTTCCGCGGCACCGAGGTCGCGAGGACGATATGGCCCATGCTGCAATCCAGATCGGCGAAGGCGCAGTTCTCTGTGAAGTTTCTGAGGGAAGTGCCGCGCAGCGTATTCTTCTTCCTCTGTGCGCTCGGTGCGGTGTGGGGAGCGGTATTCCCTTTTGAAGTAGTCGGGGATGACATGCTTCAGACGCAGTTCAATTACTCCGCAGACGCTGCGGGTGTCACGATAGCCATTGCGCCCATGATATCGATTCTCAGTCCAGTCATAGGTCCCCTCTTGGGCACCACGTTGCCGCAAAAGCTTAGAGGATGTGCGCTTGGTGTGGTCTGCCTTATGGTTGCTTTTGTCCTCATTGCCCTTCAGCTTCCCCTTGGGGGAATCCTGATGGTTGGAGTCGGGTACTGCATTTCAATCTGCTGCTTCTACAGCACGCTGCCGATGTTTGTGCAGTCGCAGGTGCCCGAGGACATTGCTGGTAGCGTCGTGAGCCTCGTAGTTGGGTTGAACATGGTCGGGTCGGGGCTGCACATGATCGTTTCTAACGTCGCCATCGGTGGGGGCATTGAAATCTATTGTTTACCATCGTTGGGACCCCAACCAGTGGATTCTTGCACTCTCGATGCACACTCTCTGTGGTGCAACCTATGTGTAGCAATCTATGTTGTTCAATCCGCCTGGTGCAATACATGAGGTGCGAGATATGTGGTGCGAGGTGTCGAGTGCAATCTATGCGGTGCACGCTGCCACGAATCTCAACAGGCGCAGTGATGCGGGCACCCTGGCCATGCAGATCGATGACTCTGGCGGGCGGGCGGGTGATGATGACGACGGCGTCGGTAACGACAATGGTGACGGCGATGATGGTCTGAATGGTGAATATAACGCTGATGCTGATGATGATGCTGCTGCTGATGATGACGATGCTGCTGATGATGATGATGATGCTGCTGATGATGATGATGAGGCCAATGGTGACAATGATGATGATGCTGCTGACGGTGGTGGTGGTGGCGATGATGGTGAGGGTGACGATAACGGCGATGACGATGTCGACGGTGGCGATGATGACTCTGATCATGGTGTTGACGTTCATAACGTTGGCGATGTTGACGATTGTGCTGGTGAGGATGAGCAGGAAGTGCGCGCGCGCATAAACTCAGACACGATCAGTGTTGGTCAAGCGTTTTCGTAGATTGTTGAACACCATTCTGTTGTAATACTCGGGAGTATGCGCGCGCTTGGACACGCGCGTGGCTGTCGCGCGATATGTGCTGAAGGATTCCGACATACGCGCGAAGGTGGCCCGCAAGGGCTCACTCGACAGAATTGCACTCACCAATCGTTTTCTTAGGATTTCAGCGAATGCGCGAGTAGGCAGTTCTTTTGATGGTGGAAACCGCTGTGGATTAATAGTTGTTGTGTGAAGTTAAATGGAAGCCATGAGTTCTGGAAAGTTTTCGACATGTGCAGGCGCTCGTGCCACCCGCATGCATTTACTTGACAGGGGTCCTTACCACGTGCGCGTGTCGGAATACCGCTTTTGTTGTACCGCGATAATTTTTTCAAGGGGTGTCGTGGGGGCGCGCGGGGCTCAATACCGGTTTGGTTCGCATGCTGTTTTTTGACATGTGAAACGGACGGTCGTGCCTAATACACGATCGAAGCATAAGAGGAAAAGCCAGACGGTCTCGTCACGGGGGTAGTGTTTGGTGGTGCAATCTATGTGGTGCAAGCTGTGAGGTGCAATACATGTGGTTCAAGCTGTGTGGCGCACTGAATGTGGTGCAACCTATGCCGTGCAATATACATATGTGTATGGACATATATTTGTGAAGGTCTGAATGTATGTATATGTACGCATATATACATACACTCAATTCTTCTGTGTCTATATACATGTATACATATACATCTGTCTGTTCGATGCAAGCTATACGGGGTGCAACCTCTGAGGTGCAATTAGTTTTTGCCAAAGCATGGGTTGTCAACTCCGCAGTTCACGCAATCTTCCAACCCTCCCGCCCGCAACCTGTTTTGCAAAACCCTTGCAGTGGCGATTGCGATGACTGCTTGGAAATAGCTGGCACATATCTGCGGCCGTACTGGAGCGCGCAAGCTCGCGCGCAGAGCGGCCAGCTGGTTTGGCACAGCCGATGCGGCCGCGACGGCGATTGCCGATGGCAACGTCCCAGTGCGTGTCAAAGGCCGCATTGGTGCGCGGGCACTTCGATGCGGGCCAGTGGCTCGGGCGGTTGCGGTATGATGATGGCATCGGCAACGGCGACAGCGATGATGATAGCAGCGATGGAGGTGGCGATGCTGGCGATGGCGACGGCAAGGCCAATGGCGGCGCGGATGCGGTCACCTTGATGACGATGTTGGTGTCCACGTGCCGGTGGTGCTTGAGTGCTGATGGCGTGTTGCAGTTGCCGATGAAGACGCCGTGGTGCGGCGAAGCGGATGCGGGTGATGGTGAGGAGGCGCGCGCTCGCGGACATCCAAGAACCCAGGCGTTTGTTTTTGCAGACGAGCAGTTCCCAACCGTCCTGTGGTATTGGGCCCTCGTTCTGAAGAGAAAACGCCCCTGCGTCACTCACTCCTCTTCTTTCCTCCTTCCTCTGCTGCCTCCTCACTCCTTCCTCCCATCCCCGTATTTGCCCTCCGCATGTCTCTGCATCGCAGCCCCATCAGTAGGTCCACAGAAGGTCACAGTTCCACATGCGGTTCCACCTCCCAATTCCGGCGCACCCCTCACACGCCTCGTGGCCTTTTGAATGCCACACTAATAGGGCCCGCATGCAGTTTCACCCCGCGTTTCGGCGCACCCCTCGCACGTTTCGTGGCTCCATGGGCAGCTCTACCGAAGGCCACAGTGGCAGGCTCCGCATGCAGTTCCACCCCCCATCTCGGCGCACCACTTAAACGTTTCACGGCACCATACGGAGCTCCACCGAAGGCTCCAGTGGCAGGGTCCGCATGCAGTTCACCGCAATTCCAGCGCACCACTCACGTCTCGTGGCTCCGTAGGGAGCTCCGCCGAAGGCGCTAGTGGTAGGGTCCGCATACACTTCCACTCCCCACTTCGGCGCACCTCTCACATGCTTCGCGGCCCCGCAGGGAGCTTCACCGAAGGCCCCCGTGGTAGGGTCCGCATTCGGTTCCCCCCCGATTTTGGCGCACACCTGCTTCGTGGCCCCACAGGGAGCTCCACCGAAGGCACCAGTGTTAGGGTCCGCATGCGGTTCCACCTCAGACGTTCCGTGGCCCTGTAGGGAGGCCCATCGAAGGCCTGGGTGGCGGGGTCCGCATGCAGTTTCACCGTCCATTTCGGCGCACCTCTGACACGTCTCGTGGCCCCGAGAAGTAGCTCCGCCGAACGCGCCAGAGGCACGGTCCGCATGCAGTTCTGCCCCCCAACTTCGGCGCACCTCTCGCACGTCTTGTGGCCCTGTAGGGAGGGCAGGGCCCGCACGCAGTTCATCTTTCGTGGTCCAGTAGGGAGCCCCAGCGAAGGCTCCAGTGGCAGGGTCCGCACACAGTTCCACCCCCCATTTCGGCGCAGCCCCCTTCTACGTTTCGTGGACCCGTAGGGGGCCCCACCGAAGATCCCAATGGCACAGTCCGCCTGCGGTTCGCCCTTCATCTCGGCGCACCCCTCAGGCGTCTCGTGGCCCCGCAGGGAGCTCCACCGAAACCCTGGGTGGCCGGGTCTGCGTGCAGTTCCACTCCAGCTTTCGGCGCACCCTCTCATGAGCTTCGTGGCCCCGTCCACCGAAGGCCCCAGGGCCAGGGCCCGCATTCGGTTCCAACCTTCATCTCGGCGCACCCCTTGCTTATGGTTGGGGCTTTCGGAGGAGGAGGAGGAGGAGGAGGAGGAGGAGGAGGAGGGGGAGGAAGAGCAGGAGGAGGAGGAGGAGGAGGTCAGGATTTCGTCCATACGTTGTTGACGAGCTCCTTTCACAGTCCTTCGAACCAACGGGTTCGCACGGATTTCGGCACGCTCGCGTGGCGGCGCGCGCGTGTGGCCCGCATGGTGTTCTTGGATACGGATTCGTGCACTGGGCGCATGCTGGATCAACGCGGACGCACCCCGTTGTGAGATGAGAGTGCGGATTTTGGGCGAGTTTGCTAACAGCATACGGTCTTCCTATGATATCAGCAAGTGCGCGCGGGTAGATAATTTGCAACATGTGCAGTGAAACACCTGGGGTTTGATGTTTTCATATTGAAGTCCTTGCAGGACTGGTATGTTTCATTTCATTTCGAAATGTGCGCGCGTGTTGACTGTGCCGTTTCTTGGCGATGGTTTCTTGGTTTTTTTTTGATGGTAGAGTGCGCGCGCATACTATGTTTGGACAAGGGTGAAGGATGGCGGGGGGGGGGATGCGCGGCCTGCCTGGGATGGCGTGCCGTGAACGGGGCAGAGTCATAACACATCTGCAGTGTCCCAGGGGGGGGGGTCGATGAGTACGGGGAGCAGAGGGTGGCAGAGGATGTTCTTCTTTCGATAGGAAGGTTCACACACACACACACACACCGTGCAGCATCTGCGCGGGACCACCTCTCACGCTCGTGCAGTCATCCCGCCCGCCCACCCGCAACCTGTTGGCAGAGAGCTCATGTACGCCATGATCTCAACGGGCGCACGGGCGCGGGGTTCTCACCCGCGCAGACGAGTCCGTCCTCCAGGTCGCATAATGCTGGCGACGATGGTGACGGGCGTGACGCCAACGATGATAGTGATGACTGGTGATAGCGCTGATGCCGATGACGAGGTTGGTGGAGATGGGGGCGATACGATGACGATGGTGATGGTGATTCAGATGATGGCGGTGATAATGACGGTGGGACTGGTGACGCTGGCGATGATGCCGACGATGGTGCTGGTGATGATGATGATGATGATGATGATGATGATGATGATGATGATGATGATGATGATGGTGATGATGGTGATGATGGTGATGGTGGTGATGGTGATGGTGATGGTGATGGTGGTGATGATGATGCTGATGATGATGGTGATGATGATGATGATGCTAATGATGATGAGGGAGTGCCGGCGGTCAGAACTTTGACGAGGGCGCAGACTTCAACTTTGACAGCGGTGGTGACCCCGACGATGGTGGTGGTGATGATGCTGATGTATTGTGTTGGCGGTAGTGATGGTGATGGTGATGGCGATTGTGATGGTGATGATGCTGCTGATGATGGTGGTGATGATGATGATGATGATGCTACTGATGATGATGATGATGATGATGATGATGATGATGATGATGATGATAATGATGATGATGATGATGATGATGATGATGATGATGATGATGATGATGATGATGATGATGATGATGATGATGATGATGATGATGAGGATGGCAATGTCGGCGCTGACAATTATGATAGCACTTGTCCTGATGAGGATGGTGAGGAGTGTTCGCCCGCAGGCACCCAGACACCGTGACATGTTTTCTACGGATTTCCATTGGCGTGAGCTGTCCAACACCTCAGTACTGAGGTTGGGGAACCATTGACTTTGGACGGATTTTGCCGCACACGTGCAGAAATGCACGCGTGTGGCCCGCATGCTACCAGTCGACAGAGGTGGTAGGCGCGCGATGGTGGTTGGACAATTTCGACATGCACACGCAAGCGGCCCGCATGCTCTGATTTAGTTGAGTGTACAACAAGCGCATCGTTTTCTGAAGATTCCAGCGGGTGCGCGCGCAGAATGCTGGCAACCGTTTTGTTGTGGCGAGCCATGCCGTGAGTTCTGTTCCCAAGCGGATGTTTAAACGGCTTTCGACGTGCGCGCGCGGCGGCGCGCGCACGTACCGGGCAATCTTGCCTTTGCTGGAGATGGCCAGGGGCGCCGATACCAGCCTGGCTGGCATGCCGTGGCTGTAGGATGGCCAGCGTGCAGCGTAGATCGAAAGAGAAGCACGATGCGCGGAGGGGGTCGTGAAGCTTGGCCTCGGAGGGGGGCGTACAACCGAACTTATGGGGGTGCGAGCTGCGTGTGCACCCTGGGAGTTGCACGCCGCTGGCACCCGCACACGTGCTGCGTGCTCGTGTTGTGGTCTCTCCCCCTCCCTGGCCTTCCCGCTGGCGCGCTCTCGCCCTGGCGCTCGCCTCTGGTGCCCCCGCCGGTCTGCCGCTGCGCCCCGGAGCTCTCCCACCGCTTCCTGGAGACGGCTCGCCGCCGACCCAAAGTGTGCCTCCTGAGGCGCGAGCCGGGGCACGAGGCGCCCACGAGGCGCCCACGGGCGGGGACGAGGAGGAGGAGGAGGAGGAGGAGGAGGAGGAGGAGGAGGAGGAGGAGGAGGAGGAGGGGAGGAGGAGGAGGAGGAGGAGGAGTGGGAGGGGAGGAGGCGGGGAAGGAGGAGGAGGAGGAGGAGGAGGAGGCGGGGGAGGAGGAGGAGGAGGAGGAGGAGGAGGAGGAGGAGGAGGAGGAGGAGGAGGAGGAGGGAGGAGGAGGAGGAGGAGGAGGAGGAGGAGGAGGAGGAGGAGGAGGAGGAGGAGGAGGGGGAGGAGGAGGAGGAGGAGGAGGGGCGGGGCGAGGATCTGGTCAGGCCAGCCAGCGCAGGGGGCGCCCACGGGGCGCCCACAGGGCGGGCACCACGAGAGAAAAGAGTTTTAGAGGAGGTGCGGCCAGCGCATCGGGCGCCCGCGAGGCGCCCGCGGGCGGGCACAGGGCGACAGCCCGCAGATGCCAGCCCATTGCTTAGCCAGTGCAGAACAAAAGCAACAAACAAAAAGCAACAACAAACATAACACACACACGCACACACCAACACGCAAACCACAACACCATACAAAAAAACAACAACAACAAACCGAACCGTAAAACAAACAACACAACAACATTGCTTAACTAGTGAAGAAAACAGGAGCACATACAAAACACAAAGTAACAACATAAACACAATAACCACAACCTTGCTTAGCTAGTGAGTAAGAACCGCTGGTGCAAGTCTTGTAAAGCACTGTTTGGGGAATGAAGTCCGACGAACCCCTTCCCTTCCCCCCTTCTCCTCCCAAGAGGGGGACGGGGGAGAAGAGTGGTATGAGCATTGGCGTGCTCCCGGCCATGCAGCAGGCATCATCAGGGACAACAGCTCCTACCTCTGGGCCTGCTGGTACCTAGCCTTCATGGCCCTCTACGGATTGGTCAGCATCGCTGCTGCTGTGGCGCTGCACAAGCCCCTGCCGGTTGGCGAACACCCTGCTGAGAGGCAGGAGGAGGACATGCACGAGACCGCGAGCTCAGCCAGCGAGGCCTCTGTAGTGGTCACCGGGGCGCTGAACATAACGGAGTCGTACTGCCGGAATTAACAAGTGTCATTTGGGCGCCTCGACGCTGCGCCCATGTGTGCATGCAGCAGCCGTGCACTAATACCCCGTTTTTCCCCCGACGTAGAATGCATCGATGCCCATGCGCTGACAGCCGTTCGCTCATACAAGAGTGACCCCGCGCGCCAGCAAATTATGCGGGATGCGCGACGTCCTCTCCCAAGCATGCCAGCGTGCCGCCGCGGAATCTGTCCCGATGCGTTGCCGCCCTTGCCGGTCGACCCTCGCCGTGCGGGGGGTGGGGCGTGCAGCGTCGGTGCGGTGCCTTGCTCCTCTCTCTCCCGTCGGCGGACGGGCCCCTCCCCGCGCCTTGCCGAGGTCGCCCGCGGAGGTGCGAGGATGGTCTCGCTGCGCGCGCCTCGGTGTGGGCCAGAGCGGTTGCCTTTCGGCAAGGCGGGCGGCGCGATGGCGCGCGGAGATGGCCGCGCGTCGCGCATCGCGGGGCGCGGGGCGCGAAGGAGCTGGCCGGCACAGCCTCCCCCGCTCCCACCCAAGCGCACCAGAGGGCAGACGCTGCGCGTCTCGTGGTGCCTGCTCGCCTCTCTCCTTCGGGGCGTTCCGTGCATCCGCCTCCGCGCCCGCCGCGAGGCGCTGGGCTACTGCTTCCCCACGGCGAACGCCCCGCTCCTGAGGCCGCCGCGCGGGCACAGACATATCCATCTCTCGGGGCGCCCCAGGGAGGGCTGCTGCGCCGGACTGCGCGCAAGGGTGGCCCCTCGCCAGAGCGACCTCGGCTGCGCGCCCACTCCATCCGGGCTCGTGCCGTACAGGCAGCATGTCACAAATGCCGCGGCGGGAGGCTTCTGGCAGTGTTCGGGCCTTGGGGTCCCTCGCCAGGCTCCGGGATGTTAACAAAGAAGGCTCGGTGGAGACCTCTGGGGGTCCACGTGGTGGAACACAGTCGCGGCTCAGGGGCTTTTGAGGTTCTGTCGGCACTGGCCTGCGCGCTGGATTTTGGCTTCTCTGCGGCCCCCTCCGGCCGCGCGCCCGAGGCCGATCTTGCCTAGGGCCACTCTTGTGTGTAGCCGATGCGTGCTTTCGGGCGCCGAGCCCTGCCCTCATGGACGCGCAGAGAACTTTGCGTGCTTTTGGACGCCGAGCTCGACATCCAACGTCTTCTCCCAAATAGCGTTTCGTTAGAGGGTTCTTTTTTTGTTATATATATATAGATATGTATATGTATATGTGTGTGTATGTGTGCGTGTGTGTATATATCTATATATACACATAAAAGAAAGGACCACAGAAAATAGGGTCCACGGGGAGGCGGGGATCCCGAGACCGCCCGGTGCGGAGGCGGTTCTGTGGCCTACGGCGGTCTCGCTTGAGGCCTCTGCGCGTTTCTTCTCCGCACTCGTGTTCTCGCCTCAATGCTGGCCACATGTTTGGTCTGGACGGCCACGATTCCCTGTAACAGATAGAGCCTGGGTGCACATGGCCGTGCTCCCCGTGCTCTTCCTGCTTTCCGTGTTGCCAACATGTCGCTCCCGCGTACGATCCCTTGCGCACAACAGAGCGCACCCCACCGCACTTCTGGCTCTTCGTGTGGCCAGGAGTCCACTTCCGCGTGCGCTTCTGACGCAAAAAAGTGAACACTGTACCGCACTCCGTGCGCTTCCCAGGGATCGCTAGGAATGCAGCTTCTTTACTAGCCTGCCGCCTACTCCTCGGCCCACCTCTTCGCCCTCGCTGCTATTGGGGTGTGCTCTGTTGGGGGTGGCACCTTTACAATTACACAATATGAAAATACTCTCCCACTTCCCCTGATGGCGTCCCGAAGATGGCCGACCCCCCTCCCCGCGTACTGTTTTTTAACACACAGGATTCCCGGGAAACGGGTTTTCGCCTGCGTTTTTTTCAAAATGCTGCTCTCGCTGAGGCGCCGGCCTCATTTCTGCTCCCGAATCGTTCCGAATCGTGCTCCCGCTGCAGCGTGGGCCTCATTTTCGGATCGGTGTTTGGCCTCCGTCGTTCAGGATGGCGTTCTCGCCCCAGCGCGGGCCTCTTTCTCGCGCGCCCATCCGCCCGCCACCACCACCACCACCACCACCACCACCACCACCACCACCACCACCACCACCAACCACCACCCACCCACCCACACCACCCACCCACCCACCACCACCACCACCACCACACCACCACCACACCACCACCCACCACCACCACCACCACCACACACCACCACCACCACCACACCACCACCCACCACACCACCACCACCACCACCACCACACACCACCACAACACACGCACACACGCACGCACGCACGCACGCGCACCACCACCCACTACGCACGCGCGCGCGGAGCCACAGGTCCGCTACGACACGCGTCCGCGGATAGAGAAAATCAGCGCCATGGTAAGGGATGGGAGGGAGGGGTAGTACGTCAGATATGACGCGGGCGCACCTAGCTTGCCCTCTCCCCCTCCCCGTCATCCCCCCCCCCCCACCCCCCCGCTGAGCGACGCCCAAAGCAGGCCCAGGGCGCTGCGGGCGCGAAGGCCCCCCTCGCGCGGGGCCCCAAGGAGAAGAGATATGCCCGCCTCCGAGGGCTCGGGGTGGGGTGGCCCTGGAAGGGGCTGCAGTCGGACGAGGAGGAGGTACACACTGCTCGTTTCCAATTTTATGACAATTGGTTGTTTTTTTGGGGGGGCCAAGATCCTTTCATTTCTAATTGTTCCATCCTGGGCCTCTTCCTGGCCACTCGGGGGCCCAGAACAATCAGACACGAGCACAATTAGAAATGAGCACAATTAGAAATGATCGACGTGTGCGGGAGCATCCTCGTCGCCATGGCCGGGGTTTCTCCTGGAAGCTCTGGCCGAGGTCCGGGGAGTAGCGGCATGTCCGTATCTTGCTGCCCCCCCACCAGAATGGGCCACTTCCACTCTAATGGGCTCCAGGTGTCGTCGAAGGAGATCAAGATTCTGGACTGGGCCCTGGGCGTCTTCTTTGAGCTTCTGTTGTTCGCAGAATTTTCGTGCATCTGGACCTGGACTACTCTTTAAGACAACGCTTGGAGTGAAGTCCACTTTCCTAGCGTGCAATGTCCTTCTTTCTTGGCAGGGGTATCGTGTCGGGGAGCGAGAAATAGGGGGGGGATCGAGGGTGTCAGTGGCCCTTGCAGGGGCCCCCAGACAGTGCACGAGTTCGGTAACAAATCATGTGAGCCTGGCGTACCCTGTTAGTTCCTTCTTTAGCGTCGATTCGCGAATCTGAGCGGCTGGGAACTGATGAGATAACGCCGATTTACGTCGGCATAGCGTCGATTTACCGTTGATTGGCGTCGACCAGCGTCGATTAAGAGTCGATGCGCAAGAGCCGACAAGATGGCACGGGAGGCTCCCGTGAGTTGCCACCGAAGGCGCGCCTTTCTTTGACCCCTGCGCTTGGCTACGCCTCCGTGCAGCGACGCTCGGAAGGGCTCCTCCTCCTCCTCCTCCTCCTCCTCCTCCTCCTCCTCCTCCTCCTCCTCCCCCGCGGGGGGGGAGGGGGGGCCCTCCCAGGCGCCGGGGCGGAGCTCAGGGCGCGCGCGGAGCCCGTGTCCGCGCGGGAAGGGTTCGGGCTCGGGAGCTCTCGTGGCGCCCATGGGCGCGGCGCCGGCAGGGGCGCAGCTTCTCGGAGGCCCGCGCGGCTTGGCTGTCTCGGTGCAGCCAAGACGCTGAAATAATCACCAGCCTCGAACTTATCCCTATCCCTAAGATTGACACGCCAAAAGGCGATGACAATCTTAGGGATTCTCCCTGCAAAACTATGGAAATCCCTAAGATTGGCATCGTGATGAGGAGATGCCCAGCATAGGGATAGGAATATGTTCCAGGCTGGTAAAATAAGGAACCGTTCGGGTTGGGAAGGGGCTCGACGTTCCTCACATGGAGTAGGTCCGTCCATGGCTATTTCTCCAGCGTTCCTCGTCCACGCAGGCGGGGGTTGGGGTCAAGGAAGGGGCTTCGTTCCTTATTTGGCGTTCCTTCTTTCAGCGGCCCGACTGTATGCCCCCCGTCCTTGGCCCTCCCTTTGCACGCCGGCCAGCTAGTCATTCGGTTGCCCCAAAGTGTCACCCGCCAGAGCGGACCGCCGCTGCCGCGCCGCCGGCGGGGCAAGAGATGTCTCGGCACGCCCGCTGGGAAAAACGCAACGCGTACTCTGCTCAAAAACGCCCGTGTTGACACGCTGCGTGTTGGCTCGGCGTACAGCCAAGACGCTGAAATAAGGAACAGTTTGGGTTCGGAAGGGGCTCGATGTTCCTTAGGTTCCTCCAGTGCTGTTCCTCTTGCCCTCCTGGGGCACGGAGGCGCTTACAAGGCTTACAGGGCCAAGAAGGGGCTTCGTTCCTTGTTTAGCGTTCCTTCTTTCAGCGGCCCGACTGTATGGGCCCAGGTTTCGGCGAGCGTATCGCGTCATACCTACGCTCTCCGTCGAGGCGTTGAGCTCCGTAGCAATACGCTGCGTGCTGCGTGTTGCGTACCGGGGATCTGTCTCTCTCTCTCTCTCTCTCTCTCTCTCGTCCGAAAACAAAGCGACCTGCGGCCCTCCGTGTTGCGCCACGGCGCATCGGGGGCCGTGGCGCACACCATGCAAACGCCCACGCCAGGTTTGCTAGTGTACGCTGAGCCCCGTGGAGCCGTAGGCTTGGCATCGCTCTGACGTGTGCATTTTTTCTCGGCGAGAACCATCGAGGACCATTCTGGACCATCGCGCAACAAATCACACGCACGAAACGACAAAAAACACGGGAAATGGACGTCCGTGCGATGGCCAGTGGGTGGGATGGTGGCGTTTGCTTTCTGGTCCATTCTCGGGTCTGCCCTTCCTGAGATCGTTCCGTAGCGGACGATCTTGCCTCGTTTCGGGCCCGGGGGCCCTCACATATGGATCCGGCTTGAACACGATGCCACAGACAGTCTGGGTCCAGGGGTCCGATCGAGTTTTCCTACGATGCTGCAGTTACGTCGGATCCCAGGGCTGGGCTACCCTGTTGGTGCCTCTGGCACCAGGGAGGGCGGGTCCAGCGCAGATCACCGACCTCCGAAAGTTCAAATGTATGCATGCTCTTATTCTTCTTCGTTTCCTTTTTTATTATTCTTATTATTCTTTGTCTTCTTAATCTTCTCCGAGAGCCCATGGGGTCCCAAGATCTCCACACAATCATGGCGCCAAGTGCCGATTTTGGTGGGTGGCCATGTTCTTGGGTTCACGGTTCCGGGGCTTCAGACGCGGTAAGGTTCCCGGCTCTCGAATTCCAGGTTGTGGCCAAGTGTCCGGGCCTTTGCCACCACGGCCAGGATGGGAGAGAGCATACAGGAGAGAGTAGAGAGCTAGAGACTAGAGAAATAGAGAGTAAAGAGAACCAGAGAGTAGAGAGTAGAGAGTAGAGAGTAGAGAGAGCATACAGTAGAGAATAGAGAGAACTAGGGAGTTCTGATTGGAGGCCACTCTAAGCCTTCCTCCGGGGGCTGCGGCGTCATCCTCTGCTGGGTGTACGGTCTCGTGGCCCTCGAGGTGTCTAAGATTACGTTTCCTGTGCGCGCCTTTCATGCGCGTTCGTTGCGCTTTCGTTCTGTGTTCCCCAATCAGCGTTTACACTGCAGGGGTCGTAGCGGACATAGAAGAGATTGGCGAAAGTAGCGGGCCGATTTCGGTGGGCGGCTCTCGGTGGGTGGCTTTCGGTGGGCGCCCACTCAAGAGATTGGCGAAAGTAGCCGGCCGATTTCGGTGGGCGGCTCTCGGTGGGCGGTTGTCGGTGGGCGCCCCCTCTCTCTCTCTCTCTCTCTTTTTGTTCTCTCTCTCTCTCTCTTTCTGATGCTGATGTGTGTTTCTCCGTGTTATGAAATCTCCCTCTCATTCCCCTTTCTCTCCTTCCCTCTCTCTCTCTCTCTTTCTCCTGGTAGTTTCTTATACATGTCTCACTCTTTGATACATAATACGTTATCTAATCGTTCTGTCTGATGTTTTCTTTTGGTGTTATGCAGGATCTCTTTTTCCCTCTCTCATTCCCTCTCTCTCTCTCTCCCTCTCTCTCTCTCGGTATGTCTTTATACCTGTCTCACTCCCCCGCTATGCTATACATGATCGTTCTTTTTGAGTGGGATTTTTCTCCAGTGCATTTTTTCTTTATCAGTCGTGGGACGTTCTAGATTCGTTCCAGTATTTTTCTTTCTTCGTTCCAGTTTCGTTCCGCTGTTGTGCCAATGTCTGTTCTACGTTGTCCTGTCCCAGCACGAAACGGGAGCGAATTTGGAACGAAAAGCAAGAGCGCGCGCGTCATTGAAGGGTCCCGTGACCTTGTATCTGACCTCCCATCGCCCATCGATCGCCGATAGGGGCCCGATAGCCCCAACCTGCCCAGGAAGGTGCGGATTTTATATCGGTGGCTACCCGCCGATCTATCGGCGATGTATCGCCGATTCCAGGTCGATGCGCCCCCCCCCGATGGAGAGCGGCTTCGTCATCATCGCCATCGCGATTCTCCACGCGCGTAGGGTCGCGCCATCCATCGTCGTCGTCCTCCTCCTCCTCCTTCTCCTCCTCCCCCTCTCCCTACTCCTCCTCCTCCTCCCTCTCTTCTTTTTCATCATCATCGCCACCATCATCATCATCATCATCATCATCATCATCATCATCATCATCATCATCATCATCCTCATCATCATCATCATCATCATCATCATCATCATCATCATCATCATCATCATCATCATTCCCTCCTCCTCTTTCTCCTCCTTCTCCTCATCATTCCCTCTCCGTCCTCCCCCTGGTTCCTAGTCCGCAGATAAATGGATACATTGAACTTACTTGAAGCTTTTCTGAAGCTTTTCAGAGTTAAAGTTAAGATATCATGGAATGTGATTAACGTTTTACAGAGTAATTCAGTCCCCCCCTATCGCTGCCCTTCTGTGGAGGGCGGCGCCACCTCCTGGGCCACCCCGGTAGGGGCTTATAGCGAGCTGCGCTTTTTCCGGTGCCCTGCGGCAGGAGGGCTGCCCAAGTCTTCTCTGGGAGCGGCGGCGCTGGGGCGCACAGGTGAAGCCGCGCGCCGCGAGGTGCTCAGGGGCAACGATCGGGGGGGGGGTATGCATAGGGGGGATGCATCGACCCCGCATCGCCCATTGATCGCCGGTAGGGGCCCGATGACCCCGACCTGCCCAGGAAGGTGCGGATTTGCGATCGGGGGCTTATCGCCGAGCTGTCGGGGCTCAGGAGACGAGGGCCTATAGCCGCGCTCGGGGCTCAATAGACGGGGGTCACTGCAAACGGGGGTCGGTCAGAACGCCGGATCTTGCAGGATCTTGCAGGGCCAGGGTTGCACTGACCCAGGCTGGGGCGCAGTATCCTGCAGGACCCTGCAGGACCTGGCAGGATCTTGCGAGGCCGGACTGGCCCAGGCCTGGATTGACCCGGGTCAGAAGATCCCCGACGCGCGCCGCGAGGCGCGCGCACTGCGCTCTTCGCGCGGGGCCGTCGACGCGGCGGCGGCCCCGCCGCGGGCATTCATCAGGGGAGGAGAAGGTACCCATACCGCTACTCTTCCCCCGTCTTCGCCCTTTTTGGGGCTTCCTGGGGGGGGCCCTTGTCGCCACCGCTGGATCCGCCTCGAAATCCTGTTCAGCACGCTCCCTGGGCGAGCTCCGGGGATCAGCGCTGTCAGCACCCCGCTCCGAGGCTGCCCGCCGCCGGCTTTGCCTCGTGCCGACGCCGCGGCGGCCCCGCCGCGGGCGTGCAGGGCGGAACGCCGCCAGGTGCCCAGGCGTCTTCGGCCGAGCCAGCCGCCCCTCCACCGTCTGCCTCTGCCCCTCCGCTGCGTCCCGGGGGCGTCCATGGAGGGGGGGCGTCCTCCTCCTCCCCCCCTTTCCTCCTTCCTCCTCCCCCTTCCTCCTTCCTCCTCCTCCTCCTCCTCCTCCTCCTCCTCCTCCTCCTCCTCCTCCTCCTCCTCCTCCTCCTCCTCCTCCTCCTCCTCCTCCTCCGCCTCTGCCCCTCCACTGTCTGCCTCCCTCCTGTCGTTTTACGTGCGTCGGCCGGGCGGTTCCCCCGTGGGCTCTTTTCGCCGAGCCTCGCCCCGCGGCGCTGTCTCTCGGGCTTCTTGGTGCACCTTCGCCTGCCGCGCGAGGGTTCGCGGACCTCCTCGTCTCTTGGTCTCGCGCCCCCGCCGCTCTTTTCGCAGCTGGGCCCTCGCTGGTCACGGCGCCCCTCTGGCTTGCCGTCCAGTTTCCTCTGCGTTTCCGCCCCCCTCCCTCCCCTGCCCTGCCCTGCCCTGTCCTGCGGGTGTCTTTCTCTTCGTCTTCCGCGCGCCCCTTTTCCCCCCCCTGCGCGCGCCTGCCTGAGCAGGCTGCCTCCCACCGGCCGAGCGCACGAGGCCAGCGTCTGGTGCACGTCTCCGAACAAGGCAGCTAGTTCATGGTAAACGCGTCCCGTCCTCATGGACCCGGTGATGCCCTCCCATCGCCGCAGTCGAGTGCTTTTGTTGTTGCTGTTGTTGTTGTTGTTGTTGTTGTTGTTGTTGTTGTTGTTGTTGTTGTTGTTGGTGTTGTTGTTGTTGTTGTTGTTGTTGTTGTTGTTGTCGTTGTTGTTTATTTCTCTCTTCGTTTCTTGTGATCTACAGGCGCCCAGACGCTTGCACACAGGGTGGCCGTTCTAACTAATAAAGAAAATGCCACTGATTCAGGCGAGTGCGACCCACTGCCGCGCTGGAGGAAGTATGTGTGTGTCTGTGTGTATGTTTGCCGTGCTCCCTCTGATCGTAATCGTCCCATCCTTCATTTCCTCCCTCCCTCCTCCACGGCATTAGCCTTTATGGATCGCCTCCTCCCCCTCTTCCTCGTCTCTTCCCTCCTTTATCTCTGTCTCTCTCTGTTTTCTCCTTCTCTTTCTCTCATTCTTTTATTGTTGGTTCTCTCGCTCTCTCTCTCTCTCTATTCCCTCCTCTCGCCCTGCTCTGGTCCTGCAGTCCAGCGGCCCTCTCTTCTGGAGCCGCCGCGGCCGCTGCAGGAGCATCCTGCACCGAACGCACCTGTCCTCGTTCACCAAGCAGGCCCAGAGCGAGGGGGGCGGGGAAGCAGACGGGGGCGCAGATGTGGATGTGACAGACGAGGAGGCGAGGGAAGGAGGGAGGGGAGAAGAGGGATAAGGCTAGGCAGTGAAGGGAGGGAGAGTGTGGAGTGGGGAAGCAAGGGAGGGAGAGCGGGGGCGGGGGAGGGAAGGCGTGGGGCGGGGGCGGGGCGGACCAGAGGATGCATGATACGGATGAGGGGAGTGGAGTGGGGAGGCGGAAGAAGGCCTGATGGCTCATGGAGGCCGCATCGCATACAGTCGGATCCAGGGATAAGTCGAGGTCGGTTCGGGGAGGGTACCCTAGTGTTATTCATGTTTGTTGGAAGATCTTGTGCATCCCGGGGAGGGTGCCCTTGGATGTTATGTTTGTTTTGGCCGACGGAGGGTCTCAGGTTCTTCAGGGATGTTCTTCTGGCCTAGGTCCGACTGCAACCAAGTTCTCAGACCGATTCGGTATATCAGAAGTTTTGACGCCGTGTGTCCCCACCAGCCGGCCGCTGTGCTCTTAGGCTCGCGCGTTGCTGATTTGACACCGACCCATCCGTAAGCGAGGCCCGGGCGAGTTGCCTTGACTAGGGAAGAGCACGGTGAGCAAGCCGTGTAACAAAAGGGGGGGGGCAGCCGTCAACCCGAAGCTCGGGAGCAGCCTGAGCATATCCACGGTCAACCCTACATGCCTTCGTATTTCGTCCCGTACAGGAGCCACTTGGCACCACATTGAATTGAGATCATCTTCAATGTTGGGGGCCTTTCGGCTCTGAGGCCATATTAGATAACGCATATAGTTCATTCATATACAGAGTGCACGTCTATATGTATGTGATCACCGTTACAAGAAAGAGTGGCATTTCTTTCCCCGCCTTCACACTTACACAATATGAATACTACTCTCCTCTCTCCCCTGGGGACGTATTGAGAGTATCCCCCCTCTACGTGAATTGTTTTCTACACGTAGCATATCAATATTTGAGTTTCCTGGTGTGCTTTTTCTAATCCGAGAGTTTCTGGTCCATCCGGAATTGTGCTCACGCTACAGGTTTGACTCCATTTCCACGTTTCTTGTTTCTTCGAACCGAGGATCCCGCTGCAGCATCGGCCTCATTTCTGCGTTTTCGGTCCTGCTCATTGGTGCTCCTGTTGTAGGGTTGGCCTTATCCCACGATAAAACACGTGGTGTTTCCGCTGCGGCGCTGGCCTCATTCCCGCATGCTTGTCCTTCTCGAAAGGTGCTCCCGCTGCATCGCCGGTGGCACTTCCGCGTTTTCAGTCCTTCGAATGGGAGCCCCCACTGCAGCGTTGGCCTCATTCCCAAATTGTCTCACAACATGGCGTTCCGTCTACAGTCGGGGCCCTGAAGAAGGAACCCTTTTCGTTGGGGAGGGGCTCCGCGTTCCTTAAGTGTTTCGCAGCTTGCCTCAGGTTTTCCTTGTGTCTTCGATCGGACATCGAAGTTTCACTTATGGAAAAAAGGGGCCTCGTTCCTTCTTTATGGGTTCCTTAGGCCAAGGCCCTCACTGTCTGTACAGCGTGGGCTTCCTGCTGGAGCGCCAGCTCTCGACCACGGTGCGCTGCGGCTCCCGCGTCGGCCTCGCTTCGGAGGCCGCACATCCCTGGCCTGATCCTGGGGCCTCCGTCCTGAGGACCGGCACCCTCGACGCGGCGCAGGTCCTGCTTCTGCAGTTGACTCAGCATCTGGCCCTGTGCCTCCCAGCCCAGGAGGAGGAGGAGGAGGAGGAGGAGGAGGAGGAGGAGGAGGAGGAGGAGGAGGAGGAGGAGGAGGAGGAGGAGGAGGAGGAGGAGGAGGAGGAGGAGGAGGAGGAGGAGGAGGAGGAGGAGGAGGAGGAGGAGGAGGAGGAGGAGGAGGAGGAGGAGGAGGAGGAGGAGGAGGAGGAGGAGGAGGAGGAGGAGGAGGAGGAGGAGGAGGAGGAGGAGGAGGAGGAGGAGAGGGAGGAGGAGGAGGAGGAGGAGGAGGAGGAGGAGGCCGCAGGTCTCTTGCTTCTGCAGCTGACTCAGTCACCACCCACCAAACCACCCCAACCCAACCCGAAGGCTCAGATTTACCCTCGATTTCCAGTGGGGGGGGGTCGGGGAACATCGAAAAAACACGTGTGGAACCCTTACCCCCCCCAACCCGAAATTCGGGTCTTCGGGTTGGGTTGGGGTGGTCTGGTAGGTAGTCAGCATGTGGCTTGTGCCTCCCAGCCCTGGCCCCTGTGTGTTGGTGGCTCAAGATGGAACTCCTGCTGCAGCGTTGGCTGGCCACGCGCACAAGGGGGGTATGGGGCAGAGGGGGAGGCCTCTTGGAAGGCGGCTGCTTCTCAGAAGGCGCGGGCTTTGTCTGCAGATGTAAGGCCCGCGCCCTCTAAGGAGCAGCCTCCTCCTAAGAGGCCTTCCCCCCTCCCCCTACCCACCCTGTGCGCGCCGCCAAAACGTTGGCCGCATCCAATTCCAGGGCGCTCTCGCTGCAGCACTGGCAGTGCAATTGGATCGGCATTAGCTCACGGCTCCCCGATGCCACACCGTGCTACGGCGTGCTACGCTCAGCCGTGCTCTCCTACGCCATGCTATGTCATGCTCTGTTTCGCGGGGTTAGCCCTTTCGGGATCATTGTCTTCTTCGGCATCCGACTATGCGGATGGAGATGCGCTCTGCGCAGTGGTAAGGGATGGGAGGGAGGGGTAGGACGTCAGATCTGACGCGAGCGCACATAGCTTGCCCCCCTTCCTCCCCTTTCTCTCCCCCGTCCCCGCCCCTCGCCAGATGTCCGGCGCCTCGATCTTCCCGCGACGCGTTCTCCCGACCTTTCGACCTCTTCCCCAGGACAGGCTTTTCTTCCCCAGCCGTTCTTTGCTGGACGGCCCCGAGGCCCGGTATAAGGGCCCCGAGAGGCCGAAGATGCCGGACGCCCGGGGTCCCCATCGGAGCCCAAAACTCAGCCACGCGCACACTGGGGTGGGGGGAGGGGGGATGGGCTTCTTAGAAGCACCCCTGCTTCTTAGAAGGCGCGGGCCCTATCTATAGATGTAGGGCCGGCGTCTTCTAAGAAGCAGCCCTGCTTCTAAGAAGCCCTCCCCCTCCCCCCACCCTTTGTGCGCGCCGCCAACACACGGCCGCCCCCGGGATCCGGGCGGCCTGCCCCTCCCCCCCCCACCTCCCCCGGCGCGGGCCAGGTCTGGCTCGCCGGCAGCGGGGCCTCCGAGAACTGGCGGTTCCTCCTCTGCGTCGCGGGCGTCTGCGTGGTCATCGGCTACGCCTTCCTGCTCGTGCTGTGGTGCTTCTTCGACAAGCTGGTCCCGGCGGGCTGGCGCCAGCGCGGCGCCGTCGGAGCCCCCCGCCCCCTGTAATTAGGCGTCTCTTCGGGGAGGCGTCCGTGCGGCACCCCCTCCTCCCCTTCCCCGCTGACTAAGCCGCGCTCCCTCCTCTTCTTCACCCCTGTGCTCTTGCCCCCCCTCCTCTCTCCCTCGCTCGCGCCCTCCTCCCCCTTCCTCCTCCTCCTCCTCCTCCTCCTCTCCTCCTCGTCCTCCTCCTCCTCCTCCTCCTCCTCCTCCTCCTCCTCCTCCTCCTCCCCCTCCTCCTCCAGCCCTTGCCCTCCTCCGTCCTCTTGCCCTCCTCCCGTGGGGGCTCCAGCATCTCTCCGCCCAGTCCGCGGGGGCGCGCCCGTGCTCTCCGCCTGAGGTCCGGCCAGGCGGGGCCCTCGGGAGGCACAGCCGAGCGCGCTCATCCTCGGGGGAGGGGCCGCGGCAACTGGTTATGCCAGGGCCACTTCTGTGGGCTACCTTGGCTAGTTTATCGACTATCGCAGGCCTAGAGGTTGACACCAACACCAATATCGGTGGTGTGCCTCCACCGAGGTAAGAAGATCCCGATCTCGGTGATGGTGGTAATAATTCTGGCTTCCAAGGTGGCCGAAATATTACCACCAACACCGAAATCTAGGATCATCTTCCCCCTGTGGAGGCAACCCCCTGTGTTGGTGTTGGTGCCCATTTCCAGGCCTCCAAGACTAGACGTAAGAGTGACCTTTTGACCTTTGGTGCGGGCACAGAGGGGTCCCCAGGTGGCTGAAGACGAGGCGGTCGCAGCTGCTTGCGCGCCCAGGTTTGGTCCCCCCGCGGCCCCCCCAAAGCCGCGCACCAACGGTTATTTTGTGTTGCCCCTCCCTCCTCTTCCGCCCTCAGCGGCCGCTGGAGAGCTGGTGCCTGTCATGGCCCAGCTCTCTAGAGCGCGCGTGCGGATCGCCTCTGCCGCGCTGCGGCGTAAAACGTGGGATCGTGTTTTTCCCCAGGCGATCAAATTTTACACCGCACCCGCCGTGTGAGACATTGCCAGAACATGCAAACATGGATGCCTGGTCGGCTGATTGGTTGGTTGCCCAACCAAAATATATCCTGGCCCCGCCGTGTGAGACATCGTCACAACATGCGAGGGGCTGGTTGCTTCTCTGGCTGGCTGGTTGGCAGGTCTGTTGGCTGCTTGGCTGGACGGCTGGTTGGCTGGTTGGTTCGTTGGTTGGCCAGTTGGCTGGTGGACTGGCTGGCTGGATTGTTTGTTGGCATGTAAGTTCTGCGCGAATCCCTGTGGCCACAGTTTTGGAACAAAGAAGTATTCCTTGGGACTCGCGTGTGAGCTCTTGCTGCATGCAGGGTGATTTAGACAAATTGCCCTCAGAACCCCTGCGCGGTCCTGTGCGATCTGGAGAGGGATGTGACCAAATCGTCATGAGAACTACAGTGGCAGGCATGAGGCACATATTCTTTTAGAGCCCGTGCGAAAAAAAATATCCTTCCAGCACGACGGCCGCGTGAGCGTGAGAACCCCTGCTGCGAGCAGGCACGGACAACAGAAACAAATCTCCCTTAGAACCCGTGTGAGAACCCCAAGTGGTAAGAAGCAGGAAAGATACATGTTACTTTGGCTCTTGCTCGAACCTCTGTTGCAAGCACAGGGGGGATCATCCTTGGCCCCCCTGCGAGAACCCTGTGGCAGGCAACTTGGAAAGGCACATCCCCGTTCGCTCCCGGATAGCAGGGAGGGGATCCGCAAATCTCGCGTCGAGCCTGCGTGCGAATCCTTGTGGCAGGCAGCGGGACATGGACACATTTCATTTGGGCCCTCTGCAGAAACCTCTCTTGCTGGTTTCGGGGCCTGGGACCCGATGCCGACGTCAACTCGCCAGTCTGGCGCACCCCTCACGCGGATCGCGCCTCCGAGAGGTACATGTGATAGTTTCGTGGCTGGTGTTGCACATACTGTTATGACAATGCAATGTATGTCGTCTTTACCTCCCGGAAGCGTGATTTTAGGTCCCCCAGATGGGGGTCCGAATAGATGGGGTCGGAGGATCGCGCCGCATCGCCGATGCATTGGTGATGTGGCTCGACGTGGAGCTCGATTGTTTTCATTCCGACGGCGCCTGCGCATCGCCGACGTCGGCGATGTATCGGCAATGCGGCGCGATCCTCCGACCCCACCGAGACGGACCTCATGTGGGACGCCTCTTTTCATTCTCTTCTCTCCGCGTGAGCCGAAGAAGAAGAAGAAGCATCTGGAGCCGCCCCTTGTGCCGCCCCTGGTGCCGCCCCTGGCGCCGCCCCTGGCGCCGCCCCTGGCGCTGTTCCAAGAAATTCGCGCGGACCTCCGCAAGTTTGCGCTTCCGTCGTCCACTGGTTCCCCAACCACGCGAACCAAAGCCTTCATAAACATTACGCTATCGGAGTTCCGCGGGGATTTTTCTGAGATCGGCGCTGGGCACTTCTGGGCCAGGGAGGGGGGGGGTCAGCGCCGGTGCAAGAAATCTCCACGGGCCTCCGAAAGCTTATGATGGGCTTGTTCACCACCACCACC